GGACGGAACTGTAGTCCAATATGTAGAGCTATCTGCCGGAATAGATGCCAGGCTACACAAAACCTGATGACAGGCCACTTTTATACAGACAGCTTAGTACTGCAAAGGCAAGCCAGGTGATTGCCAGGTCACAGGTGATTGGGGACCATACAAGATCATCTCGGGATTTAGGTGGAAAACCAGGTGGAAAACCAGGTGAAATTGCCAATCTGGTGGTATTTGGCGGCGATCACCTTGCTGAGGTGTTTGATTCCGACATAAAATAGGAATTGAAAATTTAAAGAAAGGGTTAAAGAAGTCCGCGTGTGGTCTGATTTGAGACTACAGTAAAACCTGTCAAGGCGACCACCTGTCCTAGAAGACCACTGCAACCAGGACAAAGGGATGCTATTTCCAGTCAATTGACCCTGGATAAGGCGACCACCTGGTGACAGAGACCACATTTCGAAGGTCCCTTGAGCGGTCGTATTACACAGGTTTCACTGTACACATTGTAGCTTGAGTGATCCCATCGCTTACAGATTAGTGGATGATCCTGCTCTGAAGAAATGCAGCAGTCCTTTGCCCTCCTTGGCCATGCTCTCAGTCTAAGCAAGAAACAAATCATGCATGCACACACACACGCACACGCACACACACACACGCACACACGCACGCACACACACACACGCACACACACACACGCACACACACACACACACACACACACACACACAAATTCAGAATGAAGCACATTCCTCTTTTTGTTTTAGATGAAAAGACTAGAGTATGGATAAGTATGCAATACTTAGCAGTGCAGAGCAGTGCAGAGCAGTGCAGTGCAGTGTAGACCAGCTTAGTGTTGTACAGTACGTACCGTGCTGGTCTGAGATGCCTGCGACGTTTGAGAGGCTATGGAAGACTGGGAAGGCGTGTTTGGCACTCCAGACAACCGATTCTTCTTGCTGGGCATCAGTCTGCGAACGCCTGCCCATCTTCCACTCTACACGACGAGTAGTGCAGGATAGTAAACAGCACAGTACATTCAGTGGGAGTGGGAGGATTCTAGCACTATAGGCTTACGCCTGGGTTACAAACAGTTACTGGGCATCCGTTATAAATACGCACACACACACACACACACATACACACACACACACATACACACACACACACACACATCTAAACAATCAAGACACACACACACACGTACAAGGCCCCACTCACGCAAGGATTGGCCTATATACATCTGGCATTTTGTGAAGTATTGATGTGTTGAGCGCATTTTTGCTCAAGAAAAAAGAAAGCGACAAGGGAACAGATGGTGTCGCATGTAGTAGATGCACGTTAGAGGGGAAGTGTACCCACGGGCCAGTGCATGTACTTAGCAACGTGCAGTTAAAAATACATTGCAACAGTGAAAGTCCCAGGTGGACAGGTGCAACCATTCGAGGAATTACAGCATATGGAAATTTTAGCTAAATTCTGTGACATAACGAAGACAGTAAATATGGTGAAAGGTGCACTCACAAGAACCATGGTGCAATCTAGACAATTTACTCCTTCAAGTTCTCAAACCTTTACACCATGGTTATTGTAGCCAGTGCACCTCTCTCCATCTTTATTGCTTTAATCTGTTTCTCGTCTATATATGATGAGACCATACTTTACCAGGATCTGTCACATCATAGAGGTACGTATAGGAAAACATTGCACTACAGAGCTGCAAAAGTTAATCTTTGGCATGGGACATATGACACCTTTGGTGTCCCAGCTGTCATCATTATAATTATCACAGAATTTAGGCACAACTTCTACATGCTATTACTTTGGAATAGCTGCACCAATCATCCTGGGACTTCACGTTAGGAACCAGTGTGTTTATTCTGCTACAAGTTATGAAGCTTGCATTTTAGGGTGAACTACCCCATTATCTCTCTAACATTTCCTGTTTGACACCACAGTAGTACTAATTCACCATGATAATCAAACCAAACATCCACTCACATATCCACACTTTTGCAGGCAAACTCCAAGCTAGCTGAACAAATACAAATGGGAATAAATAAACATGTCCATGACCAAAGCAAGACAGTGGTGTTGAAAAGCACAACTGGTCACTGCATTACCTGAACTAGCAAGGAGCTGGCAACAGCTCACCATTAACTTACATCTCTGACATTCACCTCTGCTGTATCACAGGAATTGAGCACACATTGGTGAAGATCCTTCAGCAAATACTCTCTGGTCCGACGCTAGAGAACGAAACAAAACCATTAGGAGAGAGAGAGAGAGAGAGAGAGAGAGAGAGAGAGAGAGAGAGAGAGAGAGAGAGAGAGAGAGAGAGAGAGAGAGAGAGAGAGCTAGAGAGAGAGAGAGAGAGAGAGAGAGAGAGAGGGGGGGGGGAGAGAAAGAGAGAGAGAGAGAGAGAGAGAGAGAGAGAGAGAGAGAGAGAGAGAGAGATGAATCAGTAGCTGAGAAGAAGTTGATCCATTTCACTCCAACAGCATGTCTATAGCAGAGAAGCTGGGCAAGCAGTACCTTACACCAAGGAGAATCAACAGACAACTGATAAAAAGCTCACAGTCAGAGCAACAGCTTTTATACCAGCAGCAGCGCAGCAAAAAGGCTCCACAGCCAGCGCAAGGTGTAATGTGTTTAGCGCACTGCTGTGTGGCCAATCATCAGAGAGCATGGCAGAAGTGTAATCCCCAGAGAGCATGGCAGAAGTGTCAATCTCCAGAGAGCATGGCAGAAGTGTCAATCATCAGAGAGCATGGCAGAAGTGTCAAGGAACACTAGCTCACACCCCTGTTCTTCACAGCATTGTTCTTCACAGCACTGTTCTTCACAGCACTGTTCTTCACAGCATTGTTCTTCACAGCACTGTTCTTCACAGCACTGTTCTTCACAGCACTGTTCTTCACAGCACTGTTCTTCACAGCACTGTTCTTCACAGCACTGTTCTTCACAGCACTGTTCTTCACAGCACTGTTCTTCACAGCACTGTTCTTCACAGCACTGTTCTTCACAGCACTGTTCTTCACAGCATTGTTCTTCACAGCACTGTTCTTCACAGCACTGTTCTTCACAGCATTGTTCTTCACAGCATTGTTCTTCACAGCATTGTTCTTCACAGCACCGTTCTTCACAGCATTGTTCTTCACAGCATTGTTCTTCACAGCATTGTTCTTCACAGCACTGTTCTTCACAGCACTGTTCTTCACAGCATTGTTCTTCACAGCACTGTTCTTCACAGCATTCCTATCCTGTATCATGTTATCCTTTCACCCATTCACGGCATAGTCCTTCCCCTGCCTGTCGCCATGTATAGACGGTACGTGACCTCTCACTACCCCCGTGCTACGCACGATACCATGCTCTGCTGGGCATGGCCTCCCTGACTCTTCACTATATCTACACTCATCTGTCTGTAAAATAAAGGACTTCCTTATGTCAGTACATGACACAACATGGTGTCAGAAGTTAGTCAACCAGGTCTACACTTCTAGTAGAAATGGCCAAGTTCGCGCCGCCTGCAGACTTTGATTTCTCCATTCCAGATGCCTGGCCGGCTTGGAAACGCCGGTTTGCGAGATATCGCCTCGCCTCAGAGCTCAACGCGAAAGACGAGAAAGTGCAAATCTCTACGTTGCTCTACTCGCTGGGCCCAGAGGCCGAAACTGTCTTCGATCAACTGGTATTCGACACCGTTGGAGACGAAGACAAGTATGACAAGGTCATGACGAAGCTGGATGCTTACTTTACGCCAGCATTGAACGTGTTTCACCAGAGGACCATTTTCGAACAGTGTGTCCATCTTCCAGGAGAGTCCGTGGAAGAATTTGTTCGGAAACTTCACGCAGCAGCGAAGTTCTGTGACTTTGGTGACCAGAAGGACAACAGAATTCGAGATCGCCTCGTGGCTCACATTCTGGATCGTCAAGTCGCCAAGGAGTTGCAGCTGATTGAGCCCGCAAAACTCACCCTCACGGACGCAGTTCTCAGGGCCAGGCAGGCCGAGAAAATTTCCGGAGACGTTGCAGCGCAAGCCGCCAGGCCGCAGGTCAATGCTGCATCCCGCTTTGGAGGAAAGCAGCAAGATGCAAGGAGTCGCCGCCAGCGCAGCGGCGTTCCGTCGAAGCCTGCACCAACGCCGTCCACGCAGAGGAAGAGCGGCACTGCAGCTTCAACATGTCCGTGGTGTGGCCACGCTGGTTCGCACAAGAGTAACCGTTCTGCGTGTCCTGCGTTTGGTCGCAAGTGTAATTCATGCGGCAAGCAGGGCCACTTCGCCGCCGTCTGTCTTTCCACTCCAGCAACCACGCGTGGTGCCAGAGCTGTCGAAGATGAATCGCTCGTGTCCCCGTCGCCATTCATGGGTGGTGTTGCAGAGCTGTCATCCAACGCCAGTCCTTCCCAGTCCACCGACGCCTGGTCAGTAAGTCTGCCTGTTTGCTCGACAAATTTGATATTCAAGATCGACACAGGTGCAGATGTATCATGTATCACGCACTCCACGTATCAGAATCTCGTACAACGCCCTGTACTCACACCATCCACTACCAAACTCCTTGGTCCATCTGGTGCACCTCTATCCATCAAGGGTCAGTTCACTGCAGACACCATGCACAAGAGTGAACTGTTCTCTATGGAGATCGTAGTTATCGATGGTCCTGGATCTACCAACCTGTTGAGTCGCAGAGACTGCCTCCGACTTCGCCTGATCCAGCGTTTAGATGCAGCAGAATCGTGTACCAGCAAGCCAGCACAGCCCATCGGTTGTATGGTTGGGCCCCCAGCTGATATCAAGCTCGTGGACGACGCCACGCCGTACCACTGTGGTGTTGCCCGCCGTGTGCCTCTGCCTCTACAGGACAAGGTCACAGAAGAGCTCGCACGTATGGAGGAAATGGGCATCATCGTCCGGGAAACGGGTCCCTCTGACTGGTGCTCTCCTATGGTGCCGGTTCGTAAACCTAATGGTCGCGTACGGATCTGCGTAGACCTAAAGAAGCTGAACGGCAACGTGAAGCGCGAGCACTTCCCTCTTCCGACAGTTGAGGACACACTGGCTAGGCTCGCCGGATCTACTGTCTTTTCCACGCTGGATGCCAACAGCGGCTTCTGGCAAGTGCCTCTCACGGAGTCTGCATCCAAGCTGACCACGTTCATCACGCCTGTGGGTCGGTTCCGATTCCTCCGGATGCCTTTCGGTATAACCTCTGCACCGGAAATCTTCCAGCGACGCCTGCAGGACTTCCTCTCTCACGTCAAAGGTTCCGAGGTATTCATGGACGACGTTCTGGTCCACGCCGCTAACGAAGCTGAACACGACCACCGGCTGGACACAACGCGCCAGGTCCTTGCCGACGCAGGCATCACTCTAAACCCCGACAAATGCCACCTCAAGCAGTCATCAGTCAAGTACCTGGGACACATCGTCAGCGGGTCCGGTGTGAAACCCGACCCCAGCAAAGTCTCCGCCATTGACGACCTCAAGGAGCCTACGAATGTTCCTGAGCTTCGCCGTGCCTTAGGTCTCTTCACCTACGTCGCCAGATTCATCCCGGAATTGGCTACGATCTCAGCGCCCCTCCGTCAGCTCCTGCACACCGACACTGATTGGTTCTGGGACTCCCCGCAGCAGGACGCGTTCCGTCGGCTGAAAGAGCTCGTCGTTTCAGCCCCGTGCTTAGTGCACTATGACCCCAAGCGTCCCATCATGGTCAGTGCCGATGCCAGCAGCTATGGCATTGGTGGTGTTCTGCTCCAGAAGCACGATGGCGACTGGCGCCCAGTAGCCTACGCCTCCCGTTCCCTGACCAAGACGGAACAAGGCTACGCGCAGATCGAAAAGGAATGCCTCGCAGCGGTGTGGACGTGCGAGAGGTTAGATCAGTACCTCTTCGGCGCTCCCAGGTTCATCGTGCAGACGGACCACAAGCCGCTAGTGCCACTGATCAACACCAGAGACCTGGACAAGGTTCCCATCCGATGCCAACGAATGCTGCTCCGCTTCCTCCGGTACGAAGTCCATGCCATACACGTTCCCGGCAAGGATCTGGTGGTGGCTGACACGCTTTCACGAGCGCCAGCATCGGCATCAGTTGACAACGTTCTGCAAGACGACATCGGCATGGTTTTATCAACCACTGCCGAAGATCTCACAAGTCCATCCGTTCTCGCCAACCTAGCCAAGGCTACGTCTGAAGATCCAGTGTTATCCAGTGTGATGCGCTACGTCATCCATGGCTGGCCTGCTACCGTCCCTGACGACATCAAGCCGTTCCATCGTGAGCGAGGCCAGTTGTCTCACATGCAAGGTGTATTGTGCCACGGCTTTCGCCTGGTTGTTCCGTCCGTGCTACAGCCTGAGATCCTCCAGAAGCTGCACGATGGTCACCAAGGTGTCACGAAGAGTAAAGCCCGTGCCCGCTTCTCGTCATGGTGGCCAGGTATCTCTGCCGACATCGAGGCGTACGTCGCCAAGTGCACTACCTGTATCAAGCAGCGTCATCAGTCTCCAGAGCCTCTTCAGACAACTCCGTTCCCCGAGCGTCCGTGGCAGCGTATCGCATCGGATCTCTGTGATGTCGACGGCCGCCAGTACCTGATTACTGTCGACTATTTCTCCCGTTACATTGATGTCGCTTGTCTCTCATCGACTACGTCACGGGCCGTCATTACTCATCTGAAGAGCATATTTGCTGCCCACGGTTATCCGGACATCTTCGTCAGCGATAACGGGCCACAGTTCGCTTCCGACGCCTTTGCACAGTTTATGTCGTCGTGCAACATCACGCATCGGACCAGCAGCCCGAAGCATCCTCAAAGCAACGGCGAAGCAGAACGCGCCGTGCAGACTGCCAAACGACTCATCCGTGCGCCAGGTGATCTACAGCAGTCCCTCCTAGCGTATCGCTCCACACCCCTGGCCAATGGCTATTCGCCCGCCGAACTATTGTACGGCCGCAGGCTCCGCACCAATCTTCCGTGCCCACCTGATCTCCTGCAACCCTCCTGGCCAGACATCACTGCTCTCCGGGCCAAGGAGCAGGAGGCTAAGCATCGGCAAGAAGATCACTTCGATCAACGCTTCGCAGCAAAGTCGCTCTCCCCTCTGCCACTGGGAGCGAAAGTGTGGGTCGACGACAAGCGCGAGGGTACAGTGGTTGAGCAACTCACCGATCGCTCCTACAACATCGCCACCTCATCCGGTCTTCTGCGCCGAAACCGTCGTGCAGTGAAGTTGCTCCAGCCAGTGACTCCTCCCGGACCGGTGCCAGCAGTACCACCGGCCGCGCTAGTCCCGCAACAACCGCCTGTGCCTACGTCACAGCCAACTCTCCGTGCTCGCAACAACATCCAGCCACCGCAGAGATTGATCGCTACCATATAACTCTCTCTGGCTTCATGCTATTGCTATTGCTCTCCCGCGCATTGCATAGTTCTGTTCTATGTGCCCGGCTATGTACAACCCGTACATGTATCTGTCTTGCCTTTTCTCCATAACAGTCTTTTTCCCAGCTGTTGTGTTTTTTGCTCTCCTTAATTTTTTTTCAAAAAGGGGGAGATGTCCTATCCTGTATCATGTTATCCTTTCACCCATTCACGGCATAGTCCTTCCCCTGCCTGTCGCCATGTATAGACGGTACGTGACCTCTCACTACCCCCGTGCTACGCACGATACCATGCTCTGCTGGGCATGGCCTCCCTGACTCTTCACTATACAGTCGACCTACCCTTATAACGATATTTGCGTCAGACCAAGAAATATTGTTATAAGGGTAATATTGTTATAGGGGTAACTGGTTCATTTCATACACATACGTTATAATGCATGGATTTTGTTCATTTTTTACACTCTTCATAGCATAAAAACTGATATACAAAAAATGTACATCATTTTACATGCACATTATGTACACAGCAAGGTGCCCACTGGTGCCCCTGTTGCATTTCGTCGTGTCCCAGCGACTTATCAAGTGAAGCTTGCCTTACCTGGATAGTGGGCTCTACATATTCCCTGCTAGATATTGTTATAAAATGGAAAATGTCGATTGGTCAGCCCATTTTATATTGTTATAGGGGTAATATCGTTATAGCAATATTGTTATAGAGGTAAGGCATTGTATACACAAGTCAATGGAGTGATTTGGTTTGGCAGAAAAATATCGTTATAAGGGTAATATCGTTATAGAGGTAATCGTTATAAGGGTAGGTTGACTGTATCTACACTCATCTGTCTGTAAAATAAAGGACTTCCTTATGTCAGTACATGACACAACACTTCACAGCACTGTTCTTCACAGCACTGTTCTTCACAGCATTGTTCTTCACAGCACTGTTCTTCACAGCATTGTTCTTCACACCCCTGCTCTTCACAGCACTGTTCTTCACAGCACTGTTCTTCACAGCATTGTTCTTCACAGCACTGTTCTTCACAGCATTGTTCTTCACAGCACTGTTCTTCACAGCACTGTTCTTCACACCCCTGCTCTTCACAGCACTGCTCTTCACAGCACTGTTCTTCACAGCACTGTTCTTCACAGCACTGTTCCTGACAGCACTGTTCTTCACACCCCTGTTCTTCACACCCCTGCTCTTCACAGCATTGTTCTTCACAGCACTGTTCTTCGCACCCCTGTTCTTCACACCCCTGCTCTTCACAGCACTGTTCTTCACAGCACTGTTCCTGACGGCACTGTTCTTCACACCCCTGTTCTTCACACCCCTGTTCTTCACACCCCTGCTCTTCACAGCACTGTTCTTCGCACCTTTGCTGCTACACTGACTAGAACCATACAGAAAACCAGTGACAAGAGGCAGTGACATGTAGAGCTGTGCAGTCCCCAACACTAATTCACACTATATCGATCTGGTGCTGCACGAGCAATGACCTCAAAAGTTGTATTCTTTCCCACCAGCCATTTACCTGCTCACGTACTACAGTATACATGCAATACAATGTACCGACACACAAGCAGCATTGTCAGGCGAGGAGAGGGTACTCCTGTTTTTAATACAAACACCCGCCTGTACGACTGTGCTGGCCAGTGAACATCGCCGTCATGAATGAAAAAGCGCCAGAGTGTTGTTCAGCCGTAGCACTACTAACACTAGGCTGTGCAATCAAACGCAGTGCTGCTTTTTCTCAGGGGTGAACATTTCACTGGCGAGCACGTAACAACACAGGCTACAAAATAGCACCTGTTCATACTTCTCATATGTTTGACACAGCGAAGTTTCACACAGACAACACTGTGTCCATGATAAAAATGCACACAGGGCAAGAAGACACTGTACGGATCTTACCTCGAGCTTTGCAAACTGCTCTGCTTTCGTACTGGAGCGTTCTGCGTTGATGAGTAATGTCAGGAAGAGGTTTCCAAATTCCTTCGTCTGCAAGAAAAGGGGAATGAGAAGGAAAACAGTGCAACACAATTTTATTCTTTGTGGCCGGTCTGTAGTTCAAAGATGGAATACACGCTGTCAAAGACACTAACTGGTAAGCTGCCGTCAACATGAGCATGTCACACAACAACACATCCACAACAAATTGGCCGGTGAGAAGTCACGGAGAAGCTTTCGCCAATCTTGAGATACTACTTTTGGCCAATTGGGATTTTTGAAAAAGAAATCTATATGACTGTATTGCAGCATTGGATTGGGCCATGAGAATACATCTATAGTACTGGAAAGTGAAATCCAACCACAGAGAGGCAGACGGTGCACTCCTGCTGCATCAAAGCAGCATGCCACCACATCAACCCCAATGCATTGATAGTGTGTGCAAGCATGCAGCGCACCACATCAACCCCAATGCATTGATAGTGTGTGCAAGCATGCAGCGCAATCACAGGCCGCGTATTAACTTACAGCGATACGCACATACGCATGAAAGCAACACATCTATGAGATCAAACTTCTAGGCTCCATGCTCAGAAGAAAAATGCATACATTTAAGTACCCCAGTACATATACCTGTACTTGCAAGTAGCATTTACGTATGGGGGTACTGTGTATGCCAGAGAACAACCTGGAACAGAGAACACAGAACCCTTTCAGCAAGGGCTTGCCCAGTCCAACATGTCTTGAATTAGTTTACCGGACTTACCACGGGGAACACTCCAGTGGATGGTAGCAAAGGACTGAACGGAGGTACACTCTTCTTACTGCACACAGAGATCTGTTATCGGAATGAATGAACAGCAGGCAGGCACGTCGATGGCAACGTAGAGTGGGCAATGGAGACACTCCACATGGGCAACCACACCAACATCACCAGCATATTACAGCAGTAACAGGACAGTGCAATACCAATAATACGTGATGTGACCAAAACAGTCAGACACATAACGACCATAATACTTTTTGTTTGAAGGTTCTGAAAGTCAAGGGCCCAGTGGTACTGAAAAGGACCCGCAAATAAAATAGGTTCACTTACGTTAAATAGCAAGACATTTCTTCACACTTTACTGGCCTCGTCAACCAGCATACCGTACATATCTCTTAACCCTTTATGTACTGAAAAATTGTACACAGACTGAATTTGATCTCGACTTTCGAGCTTCGTAACTCTGGAACCACACATCGGAGCGCTTCAGCGATTGTTTTAATGGACAGCTGGGAGTTTTCTCTTTGACTTACATATTTTAGTTTTTGGATATAACCCAGAAATGACTGAGTTACGATCGATTGAAAATTTGAAAAGTTTCGATCCCAGGGGATCGAAAGTTGTACAGTCCGTACACAAAGGGTTAATTTGCTAAATCCTATATATAGGATTTTGGTCATATTTTTCAACTCAGAATGGGTGTCACCGTGTGGCACGAGCATAGGGAAATGTATGTGACCAATTCTTCCGTGTTAGGTCTTAGTAGATATGGAGAGTTGAATAAGATAATTTTTTCAAATACTAACATCTAAAGCTCATCTCCTTGCGCAATATTTCTAAGGCCTGTGCCCTATTTTTCGAATCCTATTTAAAACTGGTAGTTTCACGACGGCATGTGCGATATGTCGTCATGAAACCACCCCGTGCCACAACTGTAATGTTCTTTTGCATATTCACTGCTTCAGTCGTTTCCATGACACCAGCTTAACAATGCTGCTCAAAGTTCCAATTCTAGCTGAAAATGGGTGTTCATGATGTCCTATGAATCTAAAAAGTAAACATTCATGCCTCAAACATATTAACCCTTTATTACCGGCCTGCAGACTTTCGATCATATATGATCGAAAGTCTGCAGGCAAGTAATATCTTCGTAACTCCATTATTTCTTGTGCGAATTCAACGATCGAAAGGTCTATTTGGTAGAAGAAACTCCAAGCTATCCAATGCAACAATCGCCGAAGAGTTACGATGTTGGACACCAGAGTTATCGCTCACCGTATTCTTACCTCGGCAAATTCAAATTTTCGATCGATCACTTCACCATTTTTGGGGAAATTCCCTTTTCGTGTGCTCTTTGAGCGACTAAGCACTTGATAATGACGTAGTCAGCTGAAGTTTGAATCGTCTCAAACAAATTTGAGCGTTCTGCGATGAAGGAGAGTGGAATGGCGTTGATGGGACGAATTTGCTTGCATATCAGGCTTGGAGACGACTTTGCTATATTACCGCGCCTGATCTGTGGCGGCTGGATAATGGAGCACGGTAGCCTGGCGTTGCTCTCGCCAAGAGCTCTCGAACGAGCCCTAGATTGTGAAAATCAAGTGAAGGAGACCAAAGTTATGACCTGGTGAAGTTGGAAATTGTGCTGAAATTCGTAATCCTGGTGCATTCTGTGCAAGTAATCCGGTAATAAAGGGTTAACAGCTTCTATGAAAACCATTATGCCGTTATTATGGGTCATGAATGACTCATGATGACCAATAACAACGGCATACAGGTCACATATTTTCAAATCCTATATATAGGATTTTTTGCCAGCAAATTAAGAGATACAGTCAGTATCGCCTATAGCGTTGGTGTTTGATTTTCAGCATTTTATCAATATAATTATTACTATGACCGATACTGCATGCAATGTATGCGAGTGGGGTGTCAAACGACTGAGCGCCGTGCACATACGCACAACATACATGTACAATGTCATGAAGCTGGCTGTAGCTCCTGACACACAAAATCAGCATTTCCTCACGATGGAGGCATATTTTTAGGGGTCAAACGGGTGTACCTTTAGCTAACAAACGGGTAATTTTCTTAACGGGTGGGTTAACGGGTACCCTTTAGCAGCCATGTTTAATTTTTGCACCAGTTTTACATAAATCATGATTATAATTCATCTGTTCTCAGGTTGCATTTTGACATCTAATCACCAAGAGTACATAACCAGTGGCACTGGTTATGTACTCTTGATATCACATTATGATTCGCAAATTGATTTGTGTCTGATAGTTGTAGAGGTATTAATAGATATACTAGGTGCGAAAATGCAACAGCAATGCAGACATCCATCCAGGAGTTGTAAATAATTGACTCCCGCCGGGAATGCTCCATCCCAGCAATGTTGTTTTGTACTGATTAGATCATGGAAATACAAATCCAAACAAACGGGTACCCTTTTACTAACGGTACCGGAGATTGACGGGCGGGTGGGCGGGTACCCGGAACACCCCTTTGACCCCTACATATTTTGGCAACTAAGTTACTTGTACGAGCAAAACTCACCAAACAACACTCACTGGACAAGTTCTTCACGAAGAAGTAACACCCTGTTCTCCTCTAACATCGCTTGATTTTACATCAATCACTATAACCGATGCAAAAATAATGTAATAAAAGTCTTTTGAAATATGAATTTGATCACTATAGGCGATATATTACTATAGACGATTATTACTATACGCAATAACTGTGTATACTTAGTTATGGCAAATGAAAATGAATTTGAGAAATTGATCACTATATCCGGTATATTACTATAGCCGCCAACCTTATAGGCAATACGGACTGTACTAGACAGTCCTGTCTTGATGAATTTTTCAAGAACACAATATTCCACGTTTGTTTTCATAATAACCTTTGTGGGATAAACTTCCCTAGTTGGTAATTCTATACACCGGATTAGAGACTCAGGGACTTGGCAAGAAAGGTAAGTAAGCCCCCCCCCCCCTCCCAGCACGACAATGAACTTACACGATAAAATGTTTCAGGTTGCGGAGATGAAGCCGAGAACTACACAGAGACACAGAGAGAGAGAGAGAGAGAGAGAGAGAGAGAGAGAGAGAGAGAGAGAGAGAGAGAGAGAGAGAGATTGACAGAGAGAGAGAGAGAGAGAGAGAGAGAGAGAGAGAGAGAGAGAGAGAGAGAGAGAGAGAGAGAGAGAGAGAAAGAGAGAGAGAGATTGACAGAGAGAGAGAGAGAGAGAGACAAACAGACAGACAGAAACATGCATGAGATGATTATAGGCCGAGGTACTAGCTGGCCGCAGACCCAGAAAAGAGCTGCCAAGTACTGTCCAGTGTAAACCAAGACTATTTCGAACTTGACAAAACGGGCTACTTGTGTATGACCGTAGTGAGTCAGTCAGATGTAAGGTTTGACAGGAAGAGCGTGTTCCACCTGCAAGATTCGGCAGGAAGAGAGTGTTCCACCTGCTTCAAGACTATTATCACATGTGAATTTGAATGTACGTTTTCACCTAAACCAATTCATATGCAGAGCATTTTCTCGTAGGCATGAACTGTCCACCATGCCGTCTGTCATGTCAGCATCAGATTTAGTACAGTCAGACCAAGCTTATCCGGTCCTCTTTTACCTGGATCCCTCGCTGTTCAGAAGGTCTTCCGATGAGACACACTGATTGTGACGTCATGATGCATTCCATATTATCGCATGTTACATACTACATGTAATAAGTTTACTACTCGCTGTGCCTTGCACGCCGCCACACACTTGGACTATGCATGCCTTTTCCGTGTGATGCGTCGTATGCACCACGTGGCTGCTGTTATTTGAATTTATTTGAATCTCTCGTGCTTATCTTTCTGGATACAACCTAACTGTTTTCCGTTCTGTTCTGGCGGTTTTTGGTCTTGCCAAGACGTTGTCAGCCAGTCAGTTTTTGCTTGTCAGAAAAGTAATGAAAGTTGATGAACACCTCTGAAACTCACTGTCCCAGTCATTTCCACTCGCCATCCGGAAGAAAATTGAGGGTAACCGATTTACAGACACAATATAACCGGCCCTCAAAACTGCAAGTCAATAGTGGCATTTTTTGTCACCAGTCTATTCACAATTCTGCGGCAATCAAGTTACATGTACTAGGACGGGTGGCCTTCACCATGGAGGACAACACACGATAATGTACAGAACATAGGACACTTTCCCACACGCACATGCACGCACACACGTACATATGCACACACACACATACACACACATGCACTCGTCCATAAATTACACCAAACATTGCCTGTCTTTACCGATTCTCGAAGATTGGCCGCCACTGCTGTCCCTGTCACTGGCTGCACAACTATGTATGTGTGTAGGAAACTTGACGCTATCCAGTTGGGATCAAATGTTGTGCTCTCCTCCTGTCAAGACAAGAAGAATACAGCCATGTACTGAGTATGACAGTACTCAGAAGAAAAGAAGAAATAATCTGAAACCCTTAGGCCAAGTAAAAAAAAGATTGTTGATCGTCAGAATTTTCCGAAAAATCGGGGCGGACGGGAGGGTTTTAATTTTATTTTATAACTTTTTTTTATGTCTGCATCGACCGGACATCTTGAAATCTTAGCATGTATTACATCTATGGGGATATGGGTGTACTACCATTGTTGGCTGTGACTGCTACCAGTCTGCCTGGGCACACTTTGAACATGTGCAGATGACTCTGTGATACGCGGTGGCTGCGCAGTTTCCATAAATCCAGACGTAGATATCAGGTGGTACACTGTACAGACTACAGTGCCATGTATTGTAGTTGCCAGATTTCACACAAGTACACTGGAATCACACTGCACTGCGTGATGTCGCTACGGTAAACATGGTAAAAGCACGGTGAAGCTGTACATGAGAGCTCGCATACGCTCGTACTGCTAAAAAAAGTTCGGATTTCGCTAAACACAGGAGTTTTCTACCTCTGATCACGAAAATAAGAAATAAAATAAATCCCGGGACGGACTGAAAAATCGGGGCGGGCGCTGACGATCAACAATCAATTATTTTTACTTGGCCTTAGCTGTAGTAAAGTAACGTAACACTACTAGTAAGTTATACTGCCACAAACACCTAAAAACAACGAACAACTGACTGCAACCGAAAGGCTAATGCAATTTTCCAGATGTCCAGCAAGAGAAGAGTGAACACTGCTCACAGAGTGTGACTCAGTAAGGAGTAAGAACACACCAGCTGGTGGGTGCATTAAGCCGATGGTCCAGGCATGCACATCGGGCCGTGGGCCATGCACCGCATAGAAAGCCCGTGCATGCATAGGATATGCATGCAGGAATGCACTGAGTAAATCGGACAGCATGCCACAGCATGACATGACAACGTGGGCTCACCACATTACTACATATTAGCTAAGCTAAACTTGCAGTGTTAAAGAGCAGTGTAACGGTCAGATACGCTGATGTTCAGACTCCTAGTATGCTTTTATTCCAGCCTGGCCTCTATTCAAAGTGTAACTCATATGATACATGCTTATGCTCTGGCAAGGTACATTCGGGCCTGGTTTAAATCTGGCTTTGGAAAATATATTTTTCATTGCTATCAGGTTCGGCCTCATTTCCTCTGTGCTGCGCTGATGAGTCCACAAAGGACGGAACAGTTCTGTCCGCAGATTGAGACATGCTTATATAGTTGTTACAGGACTTTATAGTAAGGGCTGTCAAATGCAAGCAGTCACTGAGTGCATGTGACAGGTCAGCAAGTGCAGTATCACACAGAGCCGAGCACATACAATTGCCACCGCATCTGAATACAACACATGCAACTACCATCATACCTGGAAGACAACGCATACAATGTCGTTGCCAATGTGTCTTTTTCTCGCTACTTGCTGCGCATCAGTTTTCGAAAAGGGCATAAGCGGTGAGACGTGGAACATAATTTCTCTGGATTAAAAAAAACACCACACCCACACAGAGCCAAAAATGAATACTGTATAGCAGGAAATTTTCGGACGGAAATATTTTCGGACAAAGCCGATTTTCGACCTTTCGTACGGATTTTATTTTCGTACAGTGCTTCATGCTAAATGCACGTGTTTGCATGCGACGCGCATGTACATGTATAGTGTACATAACAGCAAATTTTAGTACGGAATTTATTTTAGTACAAAAGAGGCTGTGTACGAAATCGTACGAAAATAAATTCCGTCCGAAAATTTCCTGCTATACAGTAAGTTAGCCACAAGTATGTAACAGCATGAAAAAGAAGTAAATTATCGTGTCCATTCCGGAGGGGGGGGGGGGGGGGGCTCACGACGGCCGCTAACACCTGGTAAATCCAGCGGCATATGCAGCGCCTGACGGCGGGGCGAGGGGCACAAGTGTCAAAAACCCCATCAATCAGGAGGTTTAGTCCCACGTAATCCGTGGGTACTTTACGTGTGTGTACCACGTGATACTCAGTGACCCACGTACAGACGTTTTCTGATTCACGACATACCGTGTATGGAGGCTCACCCACGTTCCGCCAGAACGTGGGTGAAAATCAGAATGGAGCGCATTGTGCGAGCTGTGAGGGTGCTCAGCTGAAGAAGTTTCCGAAGCACGAAATCAAAATATTGGATGAGCTTTTAAGGCCCGGGTAGCTTCGTCTTTGACCAGGTGTGGGCCTTTCGCGTCATGCTTTTGTTTGTTCCGTGTGACTAAACACAACATTGTAACGTGGGTGCCCTTCATCCACTTTACGTGGATCACCCACGTACGCGTTTCCTTTACGTGGGAACTAAACCTCCCTAATAGCCGCATCCATGTACCCCTTGTGCCTGACAACAAGCTCGCAGTTGACTGTGGGTAGCAGCACTACTGAAAAAAAACGCTCCGAAGTAGGACTTAAACCAGGCATGATTTCAGTCTTTTAGACCAACCCACTATGCTTGCCTGGATAACAGCAATCTAGCACATAAACCAGCGACTCACCTGTTCTTGAACTTTGCAAAGTAAGAGCTCCGACCCGATAAGTTGCCTTTAACATCCAGGCCGCCACGGAACCTATGCAGAACAATGGAGGACATATCACGTTTCTGACTCTGCTCACCTGCACTATGGCACACTGTGAATTGCAGTGCTCCCTAGAAAAGCATGGCCAAAAGGGCACACAAACATGAGTGTTGCCTGACCCGTGAGAAAGCCAATTCACTGTTCAGCGGGGCAGAAAGTGGTCAAGTCAACGGAAGAAGAAAGGCTAAAAGACAAATGCAAGCAGTACCCGTACATGTGTCATTGACTTGCATGGGTTATCTGAAACACCATACAAGAACATGTGTATGAGAGCCAGCTGCTTTGCTTCTACTTGTACTGAGTTCTACTCGGCCAAAATATCAACTTAGTGCCTACCCCTCAAATCCTTGCAGATCAACCTGTGTGGCAATGCAGTTCAGAAACTGAGAAAACTGATCCGACACAGTGTTGTTAGAGAATATTGCTTCTTCCGTTGTCTATGGAATAGACGCACGCACGCACGCGCATACACACATGCACGCACACACGCACACACAATAGTGGCATCTCAGTAAATAACTGGTCAGCAACAGGAAGCTGGGTGAATGTGCCTAGCAGTATGAGTAATTTTGCGCTGGAAAGTTGATACAACATGTAGCTATCAAGAGCTACATTAATTAAGAGAAGAGAAATCGCGTAAAACAGGAGGTGTTTTACGTGGCTTCTCTATGTATCACGTGCAACAGAACATCTCCAACAACTAGGGCTGAAAGGAATATTCGAATTATTCGAATATTCGAAATATGCAAGGTGGAAAAAAAATATTCTTCATTAAAGTAGAATAGGAATATTCGTAAATGTACAGAAACTCGCCTATAGGAATAAAAACGAATACTAAGTAAGTCATACCTGTCCTAGAGCTTGCGTTAATATACCGAATTTGAAACGACACTGCTTGGCGTGCTCATCGTACTCCAGTAGCGCATTTTGAACCTGAAGAACAAAAGTGCAACCAACAACAATACTGTAAGTCTACAAACTTTCTGTGCATTAAGATTTCAGCCTGTACTGATGCTGCCTGTATACGCTGTCATACTGAAACTTGCAAACCAACATTTCGGCCTAGAAAGTCCAGGCTGGAAATAGCCAAAAATAAATATGCGCCGAATACAGTACTACCAAGTAGCATTTTGTTGATCTACAGTAGATAGATCAGTGCCAGCTTACATGAAACATTTTCGATGTCAATAACAAATGTCCCAGCACTCTAGTGTCTCTGCAATAAAGTCCCAGCACACGTTGTGTGTGTGTGTGCACGCGCGCGCACGTGTGAGTGTGTGTGTGTGTGTGTGTGTGTTGCAAGTCCACCCTAGTTTGGGGATTTCAGGGGGTGTCGGCCGTTGGGTGGTTCAATGGCCAATTGAGTCATCTTTCCAAGATTCCTTTTGAGTCTCTCTCCCCTCTCCCGGGGAGACCCACGTGGCCAGTTTTGGCAGTGAGCAAGTACAAGTACAAGTATGACATTGTATGTGCGCGTGTGCGTACTAATACTTACGTCGGTAGATACAGTACATTGAAACCGTAAGGATGGATTCAGATCAGGCAGTGCAATCTGAAAGCAAGAAAGAACAGGTGCATACTTTGAAGTAGGAAGAGCAATAGAAACATCTACACTACGGTTTACTTTCACAGTCATCAACCATGGCTAAAACCCTGTACACAGTCGCTGGAAATACAGAACATAAATATGTCCAGCCTTGATTCGAATGTGCTGCCTTTCCAAATTTTTCAAAAGATTACTGATCATTAATCCCAGTGCAGCCTGTATACGCACTTTACCCAACGCAGACAGACATCTTAGGATGTGATTTATTGGTTCAAAACCACACAAACCGAACATAATCCCAAACGTATCCGAGGTGAGGTGAAGTGAAGAAAATGTAACCCGATGATATGAAGGAAATTCGAAGATGTTGCCAACAGTCGAGACAAGTGTATGTTTATATCATTGACATAGACTATAAATGCGCTTCAGTACACAGACACAAAGATACACAGACCCACACACGTACGTACGTACGTACGTATGGTCTAAGCTCAAAGAGCACAACACACTGGACTGTATCTCTGCACTCAGACTGGTTTGTATACACGGTCTTTACAGGATGGTAATGTACCCGTATGCATGGGCACACAAATATCACGAAACAAAAACAGCCTGCGGGTAGGACAAAACCCGTTAATACTCACCCGCGCGATATCTTCCACCTGCGACTCATCTCCAACAAGTTGTGACGAGATACGCTTGCATATTGTTCTGTCACGTGTTCTGTGCAAGAGAAAAAAATCACCCAAGGTGTTGGGCACTTAACTCAGATACTGAGCCAGTAATAAATGTAAAATGGAAGAAAACACATGGGAACGAGTTATGAAGCAACTATCCACGACTGTAACAAGATAATAAGCAGTCAAAAAGTGCGATAACAGGGTACAACACTGACAGGCTACTGAAACATTCAACAACCTGAGACCTAGCTCTACCACATCTCCAGTGCGCAAACTAACAGCCTTCCAACATGAAAGGTTCACGGTTAAAAGCAGGACAGAAGGCGGAAGGTAACTGTAACAGCTGGCATGCTTTGTTGACGTGGGACTTAGCTTGTGCACATTTTTGCTGCACTCACCTTCCCCTCTTCGGCCCTACTTAACCGTGAACCTTGCAAGTTGGAAGGCTGTTGGTTTGCGCACTGGAGACGCGTTACAGCTAGGTCTCAGGTTGTTGAATGTTTCAGTAGCCGCTGTCAGTTTTGTACCCTGCTATCGCACTTTCTGACTGCTTATTATCTTGTTACAGTCGCGGATAGTTGCTTCAAAACTCATTCCCATGTGTTTTCTTCTATTAATTTTTGTATTAGGCATTGTTAAGAACAACATGAAACAGAAACCAACAAGCAGAATACATGAAGATTAACGACAACACAACTCGTTCGCAGATTTATCAAGTGGGATAAAAATGATGAAAATCTAGTACCGTATTTTCTGGAGTACAAGCCGCACTGAAATACAAGCCACACCCAGATTTGTTTGTCACAAAATGCAGGCATCTACCCTCATGTCACCATTTATTTGACCATCGTACATGTAGTATAAGGGCGTGTTTGGTTGGTACGACCTAGAACAGGATTCACCAGAACAGCGCGTTTGGGTGGGACTGCACCTGTTCTGGGTCGGCCAGAACATGTTCTGCTTGCTCCGGTCTCGAGGCCGGAGCAGACCGAGCAGTTTCACTTTTTCACAGTGAAACCTGGCGGGAACATCGATTTTGGTCCCAAATGATCATGTGCATATGCTTTTGGGTTGGACTCGTTGCACCGTACAAAGTGACCATGGTGACCCATACACATTTTGAAGAATGCACCAAGTTTGGCACATTTTTTCGCAAAAAAAGTGCCCTGTTTCCGGAGTACCGTTTGGTTGGCAGGAGGCTGCTCCATGTGCACCAGCTGTTCGATCCTGTTCTAGATCGTACCAACCAAACACACCCTTAGCCACACCGACTTTTTTGAGTGAATTACAAGTGTTTAACATAGGGCTTATACTCCGGACAATACGGTAGATCATTGCATGATATTGAATGATTACTCCCTCTGCATTTTTCTTGTCATTTCCCCAGCTATATATTGTATTTGCACCTTTAGTGCATGAGTATTCTTTCATTGTGCGCTGGAACGGGACGAGAAGAATCCCTCATCACTCTTCGTGTTCTCGACCTGTTCTGCTCTTCGCTCATGTAAAGAAATCAATTGGAATGTGCACTGGGAATTTGGCAGTTTTCTCCCTAATTGGAACGATATGCAGCAGATCTGTACCCATTCTCTTTGCATGTGCCACAACGTAGAGAACCTCATCTCCATGTAAAATCTGGACACCAAAACACTCAAAGCCGTGGACTCCAACCCAGACACCTGTTCTTTATATCATTTTTCTATGTTCTACGTGGAGTAGAACCTCTCTAACAGCAGCAGAGGGTGGTAGCTCTGGACAACTTGCATTAGCACAGAAACTTGTTTAGAAGCACACTATATTATACTACGAATTACAGAGCATGTGTTTCGTTACTAGTAACTTGTTACCAATGGTTTTATGCTCTTGGGCATGCATCAGACAACTGATCTTTCAGTTGTTGTATGATCGCCCAAGGGTATGAAACTATTGGTAACAACCAAAGCTTCGTGCCCTGAGATTACTGGTTTATTATGTTCTGCTCATATGAGTATTCAGCATTTAACCGGAGGACTTCTCTATAGAAGCACACTAAATAGCACCACAAGCAAAAGAACGCAAAACTCTGAAACGTCTGCGTGTACAGGAGTGCTCAACTTGCTGAACTATAAACGAAACACTTTAGATTTGAAGCTTGCCTTCTTGCCGACATCTACCTGAATGTCTTATATACACAGGTTTCTACCACGTGTTGTTGCAGCCTAAAGCTGTGTTCACAACTGGCGCGTGTACGCGTGAAACCACACGTTTGTGCGTATTTTCCCGGCTTTTGGGGCGCCTTGCGTACGGAAATGCGCCGAAATGGAAATTCCAACATGTTGGAATTTTCAGGCACCTGACTGCAGACTGCAGTGGACAGCCCAGTGGTGGCAGTGCTAGCAGCCGCAACAGAAGTAGTCGCAGCTGCACAGACATCACAAAGGAGTAGTCTTGTCCTAAGAAAGTTATAAACTTCTACCTGATAATAACTCTGAAATGAGACGATTCACATGGCGGCGTGGTTACGTCATCGTATCTGACCGACATAACCATAGGTCCTGCCGCACAGTCCATTGCGCAATAATTCACATGGGTCTATAAACAAGGACAATGGATAAAGGGGAAAGGCACAGCAACAGTAATGTTGTTTGCGTGGTACACACACGCACGCACGCGCGCGCGCGCGCGCGCACGCACGCACGCACGCACGCACGCACGCACGCACGCACACACACACACACACACACACACACACACACACACACACACACACACACACACACACACACACACACACACAACCACATATGCATACAACAAGAGAGGATGTGCTCATGGACTTCGCCATGCTGGTACGTGACCTATGCCTCTTGAACACGTGTGCATACTAGTAAGTGAACATAGCCAGCACACGCATACATAAAGGGCATAGGCCTCTGGGTAAGCCAGATGTACTACTCTGGGTAAGCCATATGTACTACGTCACTCGGTGAACAAAAAAGCTTCTTGCTTAGTGTGATGCAACGGGCAACGCAGACAGTTGTTTTGTCTGATATACACCAGTACCAAATACACTGAACTGACGTAGAGTGTGTAACACACATGCAGAACACATACCCGAGACATAAAGTAGTCTCTGTAGTAGCGCTCATCCTCAGGTGTGTCCAGCTCCACAGAGTTCATATCCTGGTGGCCGATAACAGATTCTTCCGTCACTACAGATGTTGAGCTGATGTGCGGCAATCCATATTGTGATGATTCTGGATGCCAGCCTTCCACCCAGCTATCAGCACCGGGATTGATGATGGGAAGTATTGGTCCAAGCACATTCTATGGTGCATAAAATACAATGAACACACACACACACACATACACACACACACATGCCAAAAACACGCACACACACCCATGGGGATACATTTTGACGACAACTTGCTGCTATACATCCTGTACTTCATGCGAATGGTGCTGTGCGCATGGCGGGGGTGGCAATTGGCAAAACTCATGTTTTTATCTTCAGTACAGCTCGAAGAGCATTTGGGATAATCAATTAATCGGACAGTTGACGTTCGGATAATTAACATTCTTCTGGCAATGTGTCTTGTAGTCCAAATAATCTACAAGCATGATACGATGACAAGGAGTGTTTGTAAAATATCGATGAGCTGTTGCAGATCACATGTCTTAGTTGTTCATCCTATAACACAGAGTATTAAAAGCAAGGCAATGTACGACAGTTTTATTCCAACATGATACAAGTGGTAGACCTTTGCAAGATTCAAAAGAAAAACAGTTACAAGTATTAACATACCACTTTGTTCTGGGAGAGCTCCAGCGGCATCTACAGAGCAAAGCATACAATACACCATTGTTAGACAACATGCACACAAGCAGCAAAACAAGAACAGACTGTGTGAATAACACGGCAGAGTACACTACAGCTGTACGGTGATCAGGCTCAAAGCACTCCACTGCAACAACAGGCAAATGAGTAGCCAGAAACTTTGAAATGTTGATACTACGTTGCAACGAGATCGATGAGCTTACCCTGCAGTTACGACAGCCATTTGAGTCAACGCTGCTAGCAGGCATTCTCTTGTCTGACCGCACACTAGAGTGCACAATGCATCACAATGCACAAACAAGACGAAGAAGAAGAACAAAGGATTCGAGATCAGCTAGACAGGTTGGGCCAAAACCTTCTCAACCAAAAGATGAGTACAGTACAGGAACTGACAATGTTACACTTACAACACAGCTACCGCTACTGCTAGCTGTACAACCTAGTACATGTACATGTACTTTTGAAGTACAGGTAATTATACAGGTGCATGTACAGGCGCATGTACAATATACAAGCAACGTATGTCATTGATATATCCAGGATCCACTGGTGCTGCACCATGATTACATTGTATACAGTACAGTGAGGCCAGTTGAAATCCACCCCTGCTTTACATGCAGCTGAGATCCACAGAGGGGACTTAACCTGGCACTACAGTATACTTTCAAAGTGCGAGATTGTACAGGGCAAACAACAGAGCAGCAAACCAGAACCTTGCAATGAACACCGCAGACGACACGCTAGCTTACATCTACTACATGCACAGTACGTTATGCTAACATCGGGTTCTAACAGCAGTGGAGGCTATGGTTCTAACAGCAGTGGAGGCTATGGTTCTAACAGCAGTGAAGGCTATGGTTCTAACAGCAGTGGAGGCTATGGTTCTAACAGCAGTGAAGGCTATCAGCTCACGAAGTCAGGCCAAGAGGACATGCTTGTTGAGCACAACAGAGCAGAACATTACCTTGACCACACCACCATTCTGAGAACCCACTGTGCCTCACTTCCACAACCCACATTTAGAAACTACTACTTTCAGTAACTTGACATGATCCAGAGCACTGTCTCGTCAGAGCACTGTTACTCAAGAGATAGAGACTTGCACAATCCAACCATAACCATACACAAGTACCTACATAAATACTGCTATCATTGCCAGCATATACTGCTATCATTGGCAGCACATACTGCTATCATTGCCAGCACATACAGTAATCAAGCAGATATAAGTGAACCATGAATGGTGGAAGGGTGTGATGTAGCACTTCACAAGACACACCTCAGTCAGAACAGGGGTGCGAAAGTAAATGGCTCCTAATCTTCTTCTTTTTTCATTTTTTTCGAGTTTTGTTGATAACAACAGTTAGAGGGTGTTAGACCGTGTCTGCTGACCACACGCAATCCACATCAAACATGTACTATTTTACAACTTGATCAGGCGTGTACTACAAAACACCAAGCCACAACAAATTACAGGTGCCATATTTATCAGGAGCATGGTCAAATGCCAAACCCACTGCCTTACACAACTTAGTTCTGGACAGCTTAGCTCTGGGTAGCAACAGTATGCTATGTACTTTGAGTAGGCATAACAGCTGTGCAGTCATTAACACTCAGTGCAGACATGCAGTAACGAAAACCAAACAAGATACACTACAGGAGCAATATAGTGAAAGGCAGTTAGTACGGACTCGGATAATCTGTACACCAGGTTTTCAAGTGCAAATTTAAATTGTTTAACGGCAAGGACATCTCCTCCATAGGACATACACCAATGCCTTGTCCCGACGGTGGACTGGGGTAGCACTTCCTGTGCTAAATGTACCGTTTGGGTGTTCCCACAAAGGGACAACCTCCAGCAACACATCTATTTCATTGCTTCTGGAGTACATCTACTTTTCAAGTGGCTGTCCAGAAGCCAGCTCGCTGGCTGATCAGCAAGGAGCTGGGAGGTGCAAGTAGAGCTGTGATAGGCTCCACCACTACTCTGCAGACATGCAAAGTGATGTCTACCAGAGCAATCAGTACTGTCATTCTCAATTTTTTTGCCACGGTTTGACATAATATGCATTATGCATTATGCACCCACGCACACGCACATAATAATAATATTATTATTATTTCCATGTTGATCATAGTCGGGTTCAACACTCATGATGTGAACCTTGCCTTACAAAGCACCCTGGACACTAAGTGGTTTATCCCGTTCTTGGACGATGTTGTACATTATATCATGATGTCACGGCATTCCACAATCTGTGCAGTGTCAACCGTACACTAGCAGTGACAGCCCACATACATTATTACACTGACATATAGCAGTACAACAGCAGAATGTGCCTTACTGACTGGCTTGCAAACTACACAGCATACAGTACAGCAACATGCAGACGCTTAACATCCTTCTATAAAGAGAACAAAGAGTGACCTACATTCAAACACACACATAACCCAACACACACACATAATACTGTGATCTAGACCAGCCCATTAAAGGCATTATCCCCACTTTGACCACTGACTATCATTTCATAAACACGTGCTGCCTTCAAACGTAAACCACTGGTCATCGGCACCTCACAATCACGCAAACCCTGACCTAGATAAAATACAAAAGTACACACAGTACACACAGTACACACATGCATACGTTATTATACGCATGTATGTGCTTGGTATTTTACATTCGGTAGTAAACACCGCGGCACATCATTACAAGGAGGGGTAGCAAAGGAGATAAACACAGCATCACATACATCGAGACGGCAACATGCCTGTACATATACTGGAGAGTGCACACTACTTCAGTACAGCAATGTTTTCGTCTATCTTGACACACACACACAAACACACCCAGACTGCAAGATTGCACAGTAGTCAAAACCATACATAAGATCGTGCTAGACTTGCAGTTACCAAATCGTGAAGACAGATGCACATCTTCGCATGGCTCGTCTCACACCGGACAACGCTGTGCGGAATTGTCGACGAATCCAAATACTCGCTCGTCTTTGCGCAGGAGAGCGACTTGCATTGAGTCGCGCACAGTGTGCCCAATTAGTGCTGGTGACTACGCTGCAGCCAACATTGCAACTATCTATGGAGTATCGCACTGCAGAAACACCTGTTGCATCAGCTGCATCACAATTGAAATCGATATCACTAACACTGTTACTGATAACGAAATCGCTTTCGTTGCCTCCACCACTCGCGCCATTGCCATCCTTATGTTCTCCACGAGGCAAACCTTCAGTGCATGCTGCGTTATTTACCAGCACATCTAACTGTTCCACAGGCTCCGCTGCAGTAGCATACTTCAGAGCTTTGCTGCTACTGCGCTTCAGCAATATTTTCGGCACTGACCTTCTAGTGCCTATATCCATTGCCTGCTCAGGCATTCTTAGCATGTCACAAAGGAGCAAAACAGTACTTATCTCCACACTAATGGTTTATGCTCTCTCTCTACATATTGTCTGTCCAATGTGCTGTCACGTGCACACTGACACATCCATACTGCATGCTGGCTGTACTACTACTACTACTACTAGTACTCAGTGACTGTGTTCAGTTCGATACTGACTATCTCACAACACCAGCACCTGCACTACTCGACCTTCCTCTACAAACACTCGCTATCAAGCAGCAACTGGGGTCGACTCTATGTTCAAATTTAGTTTCTCTGTCAAATTGTCCTTGCTTGCCGTCCAGAAACAGCAACAGCGAGCGCAGAATTGTACTCCGCATGTACAGACAGAACTAATGCTACACTAAAGCATTATCGGCGCACTAGTCTGTACCTCACGATAACGATCTAGCAATAACAGGCGAGCAGGAGCAGCAGAATGTCGCAGAATCCACTGTACTCAAACTAGGCCCAAGCCAAAGCAAAGTAACAATAGCCCAACAAATAAAGCAACAGGACACCACGGGCATTGCACTACACAACACCTGAACGATTTTCAGAGTACTATTATTTTGTGCTTGGCCTATTGCATGCAGTATTGCTGAATAGTCTTCTTGTTCATAAGGCTACTTCACCGTCGCTCTGAGGCCGCTATCAGATCGGCAGAAACGAATGGCTAGATTGTTCACTGAGTTGTTCACCGAGCCAACTCCCCCACAACCCACATATTTATACATGTACACTGACTCAGCCATTATCTTCTACATCTAGCAGATCAGCAGAGAAAACCGAGCCAGGCTGCCAACCACTAAAGCACCCAACACTACCGAACAAGCCAGGGCCAGGCCGACTCATTCACAGCATGCAGGTGCAGGATCAGAGTGGAGTGATCATGGTGATATCGGACATAGGACAACTAAACGCGCCGAAACCTCTCACCTTCCTTGATCAGTCCGTGCACTTTAGAAAAGTGCTCGGTGGTAACAGCGACTAGCGTCGGTCAGCGAAGGGGAAGCCAGAATAATACCACTCAACTGCACAATTTCAAACAGTTTCAAATAATTTTGACTCAAATCACCATTGCACTTCAAAAGGGGAGTAGCTGGCTGCGCTACAGCGCTAGCGATCAGGGAACAACTAGTGTACTGAGTACGGTTTCGCAAACTGGCCCTTCAAGTAATCTGTCCTCAACTGACACTTTGCCACTTTGTTCAGCGATGCTCTACAAACTAGTGGAGTACTGACGATGTGCGACGTCCCGGCTCTACAACGTCCAACTCCCAGTAAAAGCACCACTGCACTACTGCCACTAGCAAACGATGTCAAATCTCCTACATAATTCACGCGATCTGCGTGACGAAAAACCGGTAAAAACGAGAAGCACAATCTACCATGATTGTATTGACGATCTGCGTGTACGTGTGCCTAGCGCCTGACCTTCCAGTACAGAGTTCCACGGCCTTCACGCTTCACTTGGCCGCTCGTGAATATCGAGTGCATTGTGCAAGTGTGCACAACGCAGTGTTGCCTGTTGGCTTTGTGTAGTAAATGTTCGAGTGAGCACACAACGTACACAGTCATTTCAATGGTTTGCTGTGCGCATTATTCTTTTGTAGTGCCGGATCGGGATGCGAAGAGGCTGTGATGTTTGATATGAGCAGCCAGTCATGCGATGACTACTACTCGTCCAAGGACTAAAAAGGTGCTATGAGGGAATTCGGCAAGGAAAAAGATCGTCGCTGGGTTGCAAATGATGGCACTGGAAGCATGACGCAGTTCAAGACCAAGAAGAGGTTACATGTGTCATTGTCTTGTAGTCTTGTAGATCTACAGTTGTGGCAGTGGAAATGGTCTCTGAGTGAGGACCGGCGAAGTGTTTTCAGTTGGTATGTATCATAGTATGTTATCATGATCATGTCGAGATGCCACCAAAAGTTAGTTCAAAACCCTACAATTCACCGACAAGTCTCAAACAAGCAAATACTTTGAAATAGCACTCCGCTCCACCCTAGGCTATGGCCTAGTACATGACATTGTACTACTACTGGTATTTACAGCGGCCGGCTAGCCAACAATGATCGAATACGTACATACAGTACGGTAGTTTCGAATTTCATGTGTAGTGAGTTCGGAGCAGTTAGCGAAGACGGAAACGACGACTCGAACACTACTGAGTACTGTCTGCCGCGAGCGCTATGTAGATCCACCCAGACAGCAACGACCTGCCTTCTTCTTCTTTCTTCTTCTTCTTCTTCTTCTTCTTCTTCTTCTTCCTTGACGACTTTCGACTGAAACGTGCACTGAAAGAAAGTACTAGTAAGTATTAGTTTTAGTTCTGTTCGACAAACGACGGCAGGCCATGGTCTACGTCCACACACTGGCCCACAAGCTGGCAACACTGTAAGTCTGTAACACAGTAACGTGGTCACTGACTCGCGCAGTAGAAAACGGAGGGGGAGATCTGGGTCTGGCACGGCTTCACAAACTGTGACGAAGGCCGTATCGTGTCGAGTTGCTGTGAAGAGTGATGAGTGCGTCACACGAGCTGCAGTTGACGAAAACTGAGAACTCCATCACACAAGAACCGTATCATGTCTCATGATATCACCAGGCCGTGCACACATTAGCTTCTACATCTCGATTGTGCACTGGAAGTGGAAGCCAAAGAGAGCGAAACGGGCACTAGTCACTAGGGCATGGCGCACGGTGTCATCGGCACCGAAAGTGAAAGTGAGCAAATTTATTTTATCAGAAACGTTCTCTGGCGCGGCATGGTGGCATGGCGCCTGTCCAAGTATAGAAAAAAGCAGGTGGAGTGAAGGAAGACCGCAGGCGAAGGGTGCTTGGCTACCACCTCATCCAGTGATGCTCTTCTAGCTGCAAGACTTACATGTACATTGTACATTGTAGTCTAGAGTAAACAAAAATCTCACAGTATTACTACTAACAGTACTACTACTAATGGCGGTGTTTTCAAGTAATAGTAATACTACTAACTAATATCACTGGATCATTAGCACGAAAAAAGGGGGAATCAAGTTTTCCCCAAGATCCGGGGGGGGGGGGCACAGAATGATAATGTACTCTTGTTGTAAGGTTAGGTACGCAGCCAGCTTAGAAAGTAGTCAGTTTCGCTTGTATCAGGCCACCATGTCTGGTTGGGTTTCTCAACACGATTGTATAGCAAGTGGTAACACGAACGTATGAACTCTACTTGTTATATGGCACACATGTGTTGAATGTAGCCCAAACCATGCATGGACCTGCGATCAACCATTTCGCCGTAATTACACCCAAACACAGCGCTTGTAACGTAGTGCGACATGCTAAATCGACTGCAAAGGCGAACTGTACAGCGGCTAGCTCAATGCATGCACGCACGTGCGCACACACACACACACACACATGCACGCACACACATACACTGTATTGGATCAGAATGTTGATTCAAGAAGACGGTCAATTTTAGTTACAGGTCGGCACAAAATGATCAACTTAGTTGGTTGAAACCTCTCTGTGACAACTAGAAAACACACTGATAGAATTGTTGGCATGATAATTTTAATTTACGCATATGATATCCAGTATGTGTGCTTCGAGCGTTGTATACAGCATTGATTATCGTGATAGGGCAAACTAGAGATTATAGCTGAACATCTTATTTTGTATAACCATGTACCCTGTAATCTATTTGCCAAGAATAACGCACAGTGGAGTGCAATGCCCCCCCCCCCCCCTTGACCACCACCACCAGCACAACCCCCATCACCACCACCATCACCACTACCACCAGCACAACCCCCATCACCACCGCCATCACCACTACCACCAGCACAAGGCACCACTACGACCACGACCACCATCACCTCCGTCACCATCGCCATTACCAGTACGACCACGGCCACCACCACCATCACCACCACCGTCGTCCGTCACCACTGCCACCACCTCCGTCACCATCGCCACTACGACCACGGCGACCAGCAGCACCACCACAACCAGCAGCAGCACCACCGTCACCACGACCATCACCTCCAGCACCCTCCTTTCCTCAAGTTCTGGTAACCCTGGGTAAATACTTCTTTTTCCTCTTCATCTTATATCTCATGTGTCTCATATACAGAGTATATTACAACAGAGTATAGTGCACACACTGGGCATTTTTGACCTGAGATAGTGCATTCAGAGTGTGCGCAGCACTATACTGCAACAATTACGGAGCACGAACGATTTCGATCTGGGGAGGCTGCAGGCAGTTTCCTTGAGTTTTTCTTCTTCTTTTACACATACCGTAAAGTACCGCCAGAGCACCCCGTCTCGCGAGAGCGCCCCACCTTGATTTTACAGCCATTGGAAAAAATTGTATGGAAGAGTGCTACGAAGTTTGTACGGTGTGAGAACTTTAGTGTACTAAGGTCACACATGTTCTTATGTGGAGCTCGCACCCCCTCAAGGTATTACTGGGTACGGATTGACTGCACAACGCGCATTGTTTGTACAAGGTTCGTGTCGTATGACCTACAGACAGGAAACTACCTCCACAAGACGACCACGAAAGGAGGAGATGGTAGGGCGCTCTGGCGGTACTTTACGGTACTAGTATCCTTTGTTGGAGCTTGGGTTCATGACAATGAACTTACGATCTCAAGAGCATGCTTTTCAGCAAAATCCTCTCACTACATGTACCATTCAATTTCAATCTTACGTTCACTATGCAGTACAAGTATTACTTTCGTCAGGTTTAGAGAAATTATGTGGTTTACATTACACACTGTACCCTTCTGACGTACACAGGGGATGTAGCCAGTGTGCTGAGGATCAGGGAGTCGTAAAATACACAGTATTTTACGACTCCCTGCTGAGGATGCTCAACTGGCATGGTGCAGAGCATAGTAACGTCACACAACGCAAGTGCCCCGGTGGCAGAGTGTAGTGAAAAATACACCAGGTTGCCGGATGATGCACTATGACAGTATGAAACTCAAAGTTACAACAACATGCCCTAAGCCTGGTCAATTGTTATACCTCGAAGTGTATCCTTCTGACCTACATTATATTCTCTACTCCACTAATTGTATGTCGTGCACATTCACTAGGGGAACATAATTTCATCTGACTATCCACAGAACCAAATTTTTCTCAATATTCTGCAAGGACAGTTTAGTTCTTCTCTCAATTTGACAAGTAACCTACACCTGACGTACATGAAAATAACAACAACAACACACACACACACACACACACATACACACACACACACACACACACACACACACACACACACACACACACACACACACATAAACACATACCGTATTTTGGGGCAAAGGCCGCACTGGAGTATAAGCCGCACCCAGATCTTTGGTCAAGAATGAAAGACATCTACCCCATTTAGCACGGTTGATTTGACCATCGTAGTATAAGCCACACCACTGACTGTTTTGGGGTGTGCTACTGTAGCTACTGTGCTACTGGTGTTTAAAGCGCGGCTTATACTCCGCAAAACACGGTACAGACAGATGGACACAGACAAAAAGACAGACACATATACACACGCACACACACGCACACACACACACACACACACACACACACACACACACACACACACACACTGTCTCTCTCACACACACACCTGTGCAAGGAGCTACATGAAGTACATATACATGTACATTGCGGTATATGTTCACATGTATATGCATGTAGGGACTTTAGTATAGGGCCATGCCCCCCTCCTCTCTGCAAGGAATACGTGTATCTCTTTACTTTTCCCTTTTCAACTCCCTCAAACCTATGCTGTTACCATGGAAAGTAACGGGGAAAATCAGAAATGTGCACAAGAAGTCGCGGCAAAAAAATAGGCAAACATGTGGACCAAGTATAGT